ATTAGCTAATAGAGGAGAATTCTAATTATTTTATTATATCGGACTCTAAATAGGATTTTTCTATTATTTTTAGTATTTAGGGAATAAGTACAAATAAATAGAGGATCGGATATAGTATAACAGGCTATATTTTCTAAAAAATATATTATTTTAGTAGTTTTAAGGCTTTAATTATATAATAAAAGCTATAGCCTTTTATATATAACTTATAGAAATTATATAAGAAAGCTAGTTTTTCTATAGTTCTAAAGAATAATCCCTCTTAAATATTTAATTAATTGAGCTTTTATATACTATATACTATTTATATTTTACTATTTATACTTTTATTTTATTATTTTACTATTAAGTTACGTTTTATACTCTAATATACTTTATATGGGTTTTTATCTTATTATTATTTCCCTTCTATAATATATAGTAAAATATTAAGCTTTTTATTTATATTAATAATAATATTACTATTATAATAAATAAGTTATATATAAACTAGATTTCTATTTAATTATTTAATAAATTTAAAGCTAAAGTTTTAGAAATAATCTCTAAAAAATTTAATTATAAAATTATTAGAAATAAAAAAAATTATATTATTTATTTTAATTAAAAATAGTATATAGTAATAATTCTTAATTATTTTAGAATTATATAAGAGTTTTATAAAAAGGAATTCATTTTAGTATCTAATTATAAATTATTATAAATAGCTAAAAAAATAAAAGAATTAATATTATAAAATATTAATAAAATATTAGATATTTTATATTTATATTTAATAAACTAATATAATTTATAAATAATTTAATCAAGTATTATAAATATATATTTAAGAATTTAATAAAATATAAGATTTATTATAATTCTAGAAAAGAATTTAAGTATTTTACTTTTTATTTTAATATTAATTAAACTAGTAATAAATCTAATTAAAAGAGTATTAGAAAATATATTATAATATATTATAAAGAACTAATCTCGTAATTAAATAAGAAATAATATTTAGTAATTATTTTAAATTATAAATTAAAATATATAATATTTATTATATATATAAAATAAAAGTAATAAATTATATAAATTTTTAGAGATCTAGACTAATTATAAAATATTAGAAAAAATAGAATTAAGGTCTATATATTAAAAAATAATTAGAAAATAATTATTCTAGCTAAAAGCCTTTATATTTATATAAGATATATAATAATAGAATAATATATAAGTAATTAAAGCAAATAATCTATAAAGTAATATTTATAAATATAATTAATTACTAAGAATTAATTCTAATAAAAGACTAATTAATATTTCTTTTTAAGATTAGAAGTATTTCTTTATATATTTCCTAATATTTAGCTAAATATATAAAGCCTTTAATTTAATTAGGAAATGCAATTTTATATAATCTATATAATTCTAATTATAAGCTTTATCTAAAATAGAAAACTAGATCTATAATATCTTATATCTATTTATATACTATTATATATATTTATTATATTTTATAACTATTTTAAATATATTATAATTATTTACTATTTTATTCGAGATTTAATAGAAATATAAAAGACCTAAATAACCTATATTCTAATAACTAAAATAGTTACTAATAAGATAATAAAACTATTATTTAGAATAGCTTTTAAGAAATTCAAGAAAATACTAGAAGTAACCAGAAATAGAAAAGCTAAGAAAATAGAAATATAAGATTAATATATTTGAGAGAATATATTTTAAAAGAAAATATTAAAAAACAAGTTATATAATATTATTATATAGACTAGTAAGATTATAGCTTTATAAGAATCTATAATTTCTTTTCCTTTTTTTCTCTCTTTAGTTAATATAATTAAGTTTTCTTTCTTGTTTTTATTTCTACTATATTATTTCTTTATTAGATTATACTAAATTAAGAGATATATTATTAATAGTATAGCTATTTATATTTCTTTTAGTATTATTTATTATATAATAATTAAAGTTAATTAGTTCTATTTTACTATTATAGATAATAGCTATTTAAACTATTATTTTATTAAACTTCTTGAATTTGAACTAAAGCTATTTATTAAGATATTCTTTACTAGATTTATAAATAATATATTAAATAATTAGATTAGATTAGATTAATAGCTATTAATCTAATCTAATTACGAAATATACTTATTAATTATATTCTATTTATATATTAATTAGATTAATTATAATTAATCTAATTAATCTAATTAATCTAATTAATATATATATATAATTATATATATAATCTTACTAGCCTAATATAGTAATGCTTCTGCCTGCTCTAGCTCTAGTACTATACTAATCAGGAGCGGTAGCGCTTAGTAAGCAACCCGAAGCTAAATTAAAAAAGGGGAAATATAGGAAAATAACTAGTTTATTATTATTAAAAGCTAGTATATAGCTACTATTATATAATTCTAACTAGGGCTACCTAATAGGTGCTTTAGTTATTTAATACTTATTAAGTAAATAGTAATTTACTATAGTTATATAATAGATTAATTAGATTAATTATAATTAATCTGATTAATTATTCTAATCTAATTAAAAAAAATCTGAATTATATTAATTATAATCTAATTATATTAATTAATGTAATTAATCCTTTAATATACTATTTACAAATTATATAAAAGGTTATATTGCCATTTTATATAGTAGCTTTATTAGAAAAAATAATCCGTTTCTATTTCTTTTTCTAGTATTAATATTTCAAAGCAAATTCTAATTATTTAAGCTTTTGAGTAGGAGAAAGATATGACTTTATACGGGCAATATAGCGGCAATATTCCTTAGAATAAAGGATCTTGTAAATAGAATATTCAGAAATCGTAAGGCGAACGTATTCAGGGATTTCCTCAAATATTATTTAACGAGTAAAGGCTTTACCGGTAGTAATAAAGTCGAAAAGCTGGAATTTGATTAGGTAATTATTATATTTATTGGACTAACGTGTGTGCCGAGGGGTAGAGGGGTAAGCCAAGATATAGTGAACTGTGGACCGGGAGAGCGAAAAGAGCCTTGCTAGCTTGCGAATTGAGTGATTACTATGGTGGTAAAGGGCATGGATTTGGATGGGAGTCTTATGGCTCACACGATTGGCACGGTAAAAGCCAGAAGGACTAGAGGAGGGAGAAGCAGGGCCTTGATAAGCTAAATTAGTGGTTGGGAGCCTATTGGAAGGAGGAGCTAGGCCAGTTTCGTCTTGCCAGATAAGGTTCTCCCAAGTACTAGCCTCAGTAGCCTCAGTGGAGGTGGTAGTCTCAGAGGAAAAAGAGGTATTTCACTGGATATGGTCTTCAGGCTCCATATAAGGCTATATATATGGAAAGAAGGGGACCTGACGAAGTGGTGCAAAGGGTGGAAGGCCTGGTATTTCTGTACCAGGAGCTAGAGGCTAAGAGGAAGTAGTTGGAATAGAGGCTTCCCAAGGTAAGGTGCGTGAATTAAAGCCTTGCAATAATAAAATGGGCCTGTTTGATTGGCTAGAATGAGGGAGAAGAAATGAAAAAGCAAGTGAAATTGGTCGATTTAGTTACCAGACGAAAGTGCGAGGTTTGTTTATTGTTTATTTATTTACTAGTAAAATTAGTGCTTACGCGTACACTAAAATGGGGGTTACGTGGAGATAGTCCATTTAAAATTATTATAGCTGCACGTACAGGCGTCCAATCCGATGCTTCCACGCTCTTTACCAGCTGTACCTCCGTAGTACCCTAGCTGCCTTAGGCACCATAAGCTTGGCACCTTTCAACAGCCGACACACTTTCACGACACTTCGCAGTCAGCCTGACATTGTCGTCTCCTCACCACTTTTCTGCATGTGCTGCGAATTGACCAATTGTTCCCTCTTCTCCCACCACACTAATTTCCGCCACTGAATGCGGGATAAACCCACTGGGGGACAGGATTGGCAGATGGGCTGCACTCGCGATTTGCTCGCTAGCACTTCCTCAGCGCTGTTGGGCGTCGCTAATCTGCAGGCACAATCAATAAAGGGCCGGCATCCTCTAGGTTGAAAAATCTGCATTTTCACTTTCTCAGCCTTCTGCATCTTGGTGCTATGTCTTCAAAATACTCCAAAAGAAACAAGCACTCGAAGGAAGAGCGCGTTCCCACGCAGTGGAGTGATTGGGAATGGGATGAGGATAAACGTTGCTATGTTCGATATCGTTTAGACAAATATGGTGAGGTTTTTTGCGCCTTTCGCATCTCGTTTGGAGTTTGTTAACGTTCCACAAGGAGACTACGAGTTCGATTACGATTATGATGCTCCAGAAAGAAACGAGCACACCGCAAGATTGAACTATCAAGAGTCAGAAAATTTAGGAGTTCCGCGCTACGCTCCGACTCATGATGCAACTGATGGGAAGTCAAGTCAGGCCGTGTTGGGCGAAGCCGATGTCATTCCTGAATACACCTCCAGCTCCTACGAAGATGCTACGGTAGCTTTTGGAAATCTAGAATTGAACAAAAGGAAAGAACGAGACACTGGTAGTTTTACACGTTGTGTTAGAACATCCGACTTGGCAGCTAATCTTTAGAAGAATATGTGGCCCCGATATCGAGTTCATCTTCGGTTGCACCTTCAGTTGCCCAAAGTTTGCCTGCCGTAGAGACCGTGGAAGATGGCACTTGGAACATAGCAAGAAGTAACAGCGGCTATGGCGCACGGTATCCTGAGGACACCGGCGTATCAACATACCAGCAATCTTCCTATCCTTACGGAAGTTCATATAACCAGATTATCGGTTCATCGTCCTATCAACAGCCCTTCTATAACGCCCAAACATGGGAAGGTTCGTTAAGTTCTTACTTTGAAGATCTTGGCAACGGAGAAACTGATACGTTCCTACAGGCAATAACTACCACATCGGTCAAGGCACGCATGGACTGGGAGATCCACTGGATTCTCGTAAGTTTCGAATATTTAACCTTCGCAGATTCTGACCTGTCTAGCATTCAAAGTCTGCCATGGATCGGCGTTCAAGGTTGGAAATGTATTCAAAATCTTGTGGGCAGAGCCAACAGGTACCAACGGAACGCAGCTCTCGGATTTAGAGCCTGTGCATTCTCATTCGCGTAAGTACAAGGAAACATTTGTCCACAAGATTCGCCGTTTCGTAGTGGTGAAATGTTTCACCGCCCATTGTGTCTGCCTGTGAGTCAGCCTTTATGCAAGAGACCCGACGTCTTCTAACAGAAAATTCATAGGCCTATCAAGACCTACGGAGGCCAAGGGACGAGGAAGGCTGGAGCTCAAGCACTACATCACGCAGTGATCTATTCCGGCAAGGAGGTCGTGGACAAGGGTGAAAACCTCATCAAAAAAGCAGTCAGGGTCGAAATGTCCAGCCCGAGGGAAAAGCTTGACTCAGCTTCTCGGATCAATTATGCGAGGGTCTATACTATCGAGTATAACGTGAAAGTGTTATTTATCGGCAGGGTCATTAAAAATCATCTACGTCATGTCTTGGCGGACTATCACCATTCACAAGGGATAGTTCTATATGAACACCCTGATAATCTTGGAGGATCATCTGTTCCATTTCAACGACCACCGACTCCGTCCCCTTTGCGCTCAACTAAAATATCGGATTCCTCCAGGAGATCATCAGTAGATTCCGTCCATAGCATGGTGGTGTCCAGTGCTCTGGCTCCGTCTTCAACTACCGCCTCTTCTTTTGAGACCGCGTCCGGAGGAGCTCAAAGGCTGTCTGAGTTCCTTCTGGCACAGCATTGGCTACAGATATTATCGAGAGATGCCCTGAAGAAAGTCTCACCAAGCAGGTTTGAGCAAAACTTGCGTCGAAGCCTTGTGCAGTTCTCCGCTCACCTGAAGGAGGAAGCAACTTTATCAGCAATGATAAGATCGAAAGTAGCCTCACCAACGATGATAAAGGCGGCTGGGACAGTTCGCAAACTTGCTAGAAATGTCGCTAGTCTATTCCGGCAGGCTCTTGAAAAGGAAGTAACCTTGTCTGACGAGGAAAACGTTCTCCCGATTAATACGCTTACCCCTTTTGAGGAAGACCACGAAGACGAAAACTACCAAGACGATCAGGACGACGAGGACGACGAGGACGACGACTTGCTTGAATATAAGGAAGAAGTATACGAACAAGACTCCCAGAAACTAGAAGTCGTTTTGTCCAAATCGATGGCTTTCCGCTTGCTGGAAGAAAACCTGCAGTTGTTCGTGCACTCAGATCCGATCAAAAAGACCCTCTTCCAAATATGGCCAATTTCTTTATCCAGGGATTCGCCATTTGAGGTCATAAATGAGATTGAATGGCAGGTGCCAAACTTTCTGAGGGCTCACTTTCCGGACGGCCAAGAACTAGGCAACATTTTGACAATCACCGGAGCGAGCGTCAATGCCCAAGCACAGAGCTGTATTGATTATCTGACATCCACCTGGCCTGATATAGGCCCCGTTTTATTAGATGCGTTGCAGCAATTGCTATCTCTTCAGAAGGAAGGTAAGCTAATAAGTAAACTATGTGTGAGCGACGGACTGATTGAGTACAGAGATTTCCGAAGCTAGTGACATTGTATCCTTGGGAATAAAACTTGGACCGAGCTCGGAAGCTCAAATTCTGACCTCATGCGCCTCGGTCGCAGTAGTCGGAAACTACGCCGTCCATGAGCAAGTGATCTCAGCACTTTCGTGGATCTCCGCGGCTGTAAGACATTCACCACATCAAGAAATGGTTCTGTCATCAACTTCCGTCTCGGCAAAGAAATCTACAGGGAGAAACCCGCATATTGGAATTCAATTATTAGAACTTGAACGAGTCCAAACAAATGAATCCTGCTGGCATTCGCTCGTCCCGCATGCTGTAATCGCGAAAGGATTTCGCATACGTAAGCGTACTGCCGGCCAGGGACTTGAGATTTCCTTCGCGAATATGGCAATGTTGAGTCAAAGCAGGAGTTTCACCGAGTTTGATGACGGCTTGATTGTAGAAGGGCTTAGGTCCGTCTTGATCCCTACGAAAGTGCTCCCGGAAGACGATGCAATTCAATGGCATTTGGAGTATAAGAGGCAGACCGAGCCTCCAAAAAAGAGAAGCATAGCTCAAATCCTTGCAATGCCGCACATTTTCAATAGGTACAAGTCACAAAAGCCGGATGAATTGTTTCATAAAAGATGTTTTCTTGGCTGGGCGGAAGAAGTTGTTGTTATGATTGGAACTCGAGAATTTTCCAGATCTGAAGTGTATAAATCCGAGGCAACTTTACCTCCAAGAACCAGGCGAGTCAAATCCAATAATATTGCGATGGGTATATCTTGCTTAGGAATTGTTGGGGCCAACGGCAGCAAAACATGGCAAGAAACGTTCATGCCATCAAATGTTACATTGGAAATTAACAAAGATATATATGATACCCTTGCAGACGATTCAGATCAAACCGTTCTAATCTACGATACCCGCGAACAAACCGCATGGCTCTTGCCCCACCCGAGCGTTATCCTCTACTTAATTCACAAAATTCTCGCGAGGCGCAAATTTCAATTATTCGACGGGGATCGCGAGACTGAGTTCAAATTTGCGGAACCCTCATGGGATGCGGCAAGTGAGGCATCTTCCATCCTGCACGAAATCATTGGATTCAAAGTTCGAAAATCATCTAAATTCAAAGAGGACCTGTCGGAGACAGTCAAAGACGTATGCTTCCTCCTGGATTTTCTGGGCGACAGGCTGGACGAAGCTACTTCCGAGTTTGAACTTATCGATGGAAGTGAGAAAGCCAATATCTATGGCTTCGAGCTCAGCGAAGTAATCCACATGAAAAACCGCTTTGATATCATGCAAGCGCGCATAGATCAGCCCTGGACTCAGATGGTTAGAAAACGTGGTATGGTTCTTTTTTGCGCTGGACTCGCCCAAGCAATTAGTCCTGTTCTCAAATCATCGGCGAGCCTTTGCAGCACATATCAACGCGTGCCGCCCGAACGCAACTTATTAGCCACGACAGGGGCAGCATTGCATTCATTTCTAGAGCCAAACAAAAGACCCAATGGTTGTACGGTCGGAAATAAAGTGAAATGGGCAACGGATAATAAACCTCTGCTCCGGTCGCATGAGCATGGACAAACCAACTCTGTGTATCACGAGCAAAGCCTTCACATCGTCGAAACTTCTACACCAGATCCTTCGATGCTTGGATCAGTCAGTTGCCATATGTCAAGTGGCTTCATTTTCACAGATCACCGCTCACGAATTGCTTGTTCTGAAGGGCTTGTGCCTGCAAAGTCGCCTCCCCTTCCTCAGCTCTCCGGCGAAGTCATGGCCGAGAACGAAGCTATCTCAGCTTATCCTCAAGACGATTCAGGAAGCGATACGTCACATGACACCGATTCTGGGGTCAATGATGCACCCAAGCCTTCGAGCTCAATGTCTAGCGATGAATTCCCCCAAGGCAAGGAGAACTCCGGTCAAATCATTCCGCCTTTATCAGCTGCAGCAGTGGCTGGAACGTGGAGTACTAAAAACAGCCGACAAGATAGCGCGTATGTCACCGATCCAGGTGGCGACTCGCCCTCAAGGCAGATATCAATGGAAAGTTCATCGTCTTCGAATACTCCGAGGACAGCCAAAGGGGTGGGGGAGACGATTTTAGGAACCCATGTCGATAAAGGCAAGCGACCGGCTTCACTGAATGAAGCGGTATGCCATGAGGGTGGTCACGAAATGTCTGGAGGGATTGGAGTACCACGAGCAGCAATTAAAATTGCAGATGGAGTCCCGGAGAAGAATGGTAATATCAGAGATAAGTTGAGACGTAAATTCTGGAAGAAGGAGCAAAGCGGCTGACCAGACTTGCCGAGTAGTTTTATGGTGGCTATCTTGCTTTTGTATGTTTGATACCAATTTTGATGACAAACTTGAGTGGTACTTGGAACATGATGTCTCCCACTATTTGTTTCGTGTTTTTCTATCATTTCGTTTGTCCGTCTTCACGGTGTGAAATATTTGTGAGGGGTAATGCGGGGCAAAGCACAACGCAGCCTTAATAATACGATATCCACCGTAATGCCTCATACGTAGCTTGCTTCACACGACATTATTAGAAGATCAGCCATGTACACTAGTTGTGCGAAACGAGGAGTGTGAAAAAGAACGGACCGTTGAAGCTGGAAGAGAGACAAGGGAGAGAGTGCCTGATGGATTGGGAGGGAAAGATGCAGACCTTCTCGGTGAGCGAAAGTCTACCAGACTGAAGGGAGAGACCACACGGTTCTCAGTCAGATCACGCTCCGTATTTTATCCATCACTGGCGTTCTACCTACAAATCACTCTTAGGGGTTTTCTTGGAGCTGGTAGAGAACGGTCGCAGATTTGACTTGAATGGCATGAAGCAGCTAGTGAAGATGGTGCCAGCTTGCCCAATTTCATATCTCATTAGACCAAAAATAAACCCAAAGCATTGTGCTTCTGCTGACATGAACAAAGCTAGGGACACTATAATGGCAGCCTGGCTCAACCCCCCTTCCCGTCATCTTGCAGCGCCCCTCAGACGACGACCAAGAACCACTCGAAGTCAATATTGGCACTATGCATGTTGTGCATATTCTGGAGGTGGCGGCGGAAATTGTCACTGCGTTTAATAGAGTGACCAGCGGTAGCCTCGTTGTATTTGCAGCCATTCACTGGACATCGGTAGCGCGTCCTCGCCTCGTGGATATGGTTGATATGGCGACGAAGGTCTTTGGGAAATTTTGAAGGCTGGTATACAGTATTTGCGAGATTATATGTGTGATACGTTTATTTAAACGCGCTAACTGTAATAGCTTGTAAGATTCGAGATTAAAAGAATCATGTGACTTCCTTATAATAAAGCCTCTTATCTCTTATAAGCCTTCTAAGCCTTATACTCACTTATCAAGCTCTCTTTCTCTCTTTATAAACTGCCGTACTTCTTAATTATACTAATAAAGCTCCCTCTTCTCTTTTATAAGCTCTTCCAAGGCTCCCTTCTACTTACAAAGCTATTTACCTCTCTTTACGGGCCATTCTAAGCCTCACTCTTATCTACAAATCTCTTTACTTCTCTTTGCAAATTACTAGAGCCTTTAATTATACCGGCAAAGCTCTCTCTTTCCTTTTATAAGTTCATTTAAGCCTTATATTTACTTATTAAGCTCTCTCTCCTACTTAATAACCCCCCCCACCCTTTTTTTTTAAAGTATAGCCATATTGCGCTCGCAAGCTCGCACTAATGTGACGTGTAAGCGTAAGGGAAATCAGTTTTTAAGAGCTTTTATTTAAATATTTAGCCTTTTGCCTTGCGTGCTGGGCCCGGTTTGCTCTCTTATTCCGTTCCTGGCATGCATTACACGTAAAGAACTGGCCAAAGTCTAAAAGAGGCCTTTTTCAATTGCAAGAGGAGCAATTTTACTCTTGCGGGCTCTCCCCGGTTTCTTGCGGGCCCTCGCAAGCCTCGCTTCTA